TGTAAAGCCACTTTCCTTGGGGAAAAATCACCCTAACAGTTTTTTTTTTTAATCTTTGAGCATAATGACCAGAGATGATAAACTATTTAATTATTGGTTTAAGGGGTATGTACACTACCAATCAGAAAATTCCACTCGTCCATCCAGAGGTTCTCTGGATCCAGTAGCATAACATCCAGTAACACTACACACACCATGGCAACATCAAGTAAAATCATAGCAGGTGCGTGTCATCAGCTGACTACGGTATTCTTTTATGAGCCTCTCAGACTTTATTTATTTAAAGATTTTAAAAATTTATTTGAGAGAGAGAGAGCACACAGAGAGGAACAGAGGGGGTGGGAGAAGGACAGACTCTGAGCTGAGTGCAGAGCCAGACCCTGAGCTCAGGGACTCACTGCAGGGCTCCAGGCAGGGCTCTACTCAGGCACTTACCTATCTAACCCAACCTAAGTATGGTGGGTTTTCCCAGACCAGATGACCTATCCTGGTTTTTTGTAACCTAACGTGTATTCTTGTATCTGGATCTGGATCAAAGGAACACATTTTAAAGAAATAATTATTTTAGAAGTTATTGCATCCCTGGCTAAGCTTTTGCAAACACTCCTCTCCTGCTCTACCCCCAAATTTTCTGGGATCTTTTGCTAAGTTGTACAGCTGGTAAATATTCCTAATTGCTTAAGGTCTAGTTTAAACAGTAAAATAAATGAAGAGCAAAACTTTGTTTATTGTTTTTTTTTAAGAAAAAAATAATGGGTCATGTAGAATCAGAATATGTGTATTGTAAGAGACATATTTGACAAGAATGTGTCCCCAATTAAGTGAGTAGTAGACTGCTCTTTTTCCACTTATTTCTTCTAGCCAAGAATGACTCATGCCTCTTTAGACGAAATTTTAAAAATTCCCTTTGGGAGAGCAATTGCCAGTGAGTATGACACTTAATTGTAAGAAAACACAGGGAAATGATAAATCTGGAGAGTGCTATTTGCACCTGTGTAAACAAAAACTGCCCTCCATAGGTCACCATCGTAGTCCTTTCAGTCAAAGGCTTTTCCCGTATACTCCTCCCTGTACTCAAAGACAAAAAGTCATATTTAGGATGAAGTCCTGTGAGATTGTGTGTGTGTGTGCGTGTGTGTGTGTGAGTGTGCATGCGCACACGCACGCGCACCGGAGAAAGAAGTTAGTATGGTGGTTTTCAGAATGTGGTTCTCAAAATGTGCCCCTCTCCCCCCAACTCAAAACCACAATATCACATCACTTGGCCACTTTGTTAGAAATGCAGAATCTTGGGTGCAACCCCAGACCTTCTGAATCAGAGATACAGGGTGGGTCCAGCAAAGTACCTTAGAACAAATCCTGCAGGTGATTATGGTACCACTGAGTTTTAGAACCACTGGCATAAAGGACAATGAAGATGTGCTTGGGTGACTGGAGAAGAGGGCTACTCCACAAAGAATTATAGCTAATAACCACCTGTTTGTTCCTGAAATGTTATGATCCTCCAGGACCCCAGCTGCATAAGTCATCCTGATTCTTACGTTGCTGAGGACTTCTAACTGCATTTCACTGGGTTGTAACTATTTTTTTTACATCAGGGGTTGTTAGCCTCAAAGGAATCCTAGATATAAATTGTTCCTTTCTTCTCTTTCCTCCCCCAAGAGATTAAGGAGTTTAGGGAGCTTTCTGTCTTAATTGATTTTCCGTTAAAAAATATACTTTTATCATTTTGAAAAATATTTTTTCATTTAAACCTTTTTTTTCTACTCATTTTAATTTGATTTGTTTAATTTTGCTCAAGGATGTGTACTTAATTTTCTAACCTAAAGCTTTGGCTACCTGTGGTGTGCCAAGGACTTTAGTTTTGGACATTATATTTGGTAAAACCAACCACAGAATTTTGAAGATCTTCCAGGAAACCTGAGGTTTCAGTATAAATTGCATATTGCGCAATTTGGCTTTTCACCCAACCTTCCCATGTAGTTTCACCTATCAGGGGAAAAAATTGCTATACACCATTTGAATTTTTTAAGTATGCCACATTGTGAGATAAGTTTTGCCTTTGTTTATCCATTATATTTGAAAAACGTTTTTCCCTTCTTTCCGTTTCTTTTTTTTTCTCCTTTCCTCTTCTCTCCTCATTTAATTTTGTTCTTTACTTCTTGATACCAGAAAAGTCTTTTGATTTCTTTAAAAAATGGAATAAATGTCTTTGAAATAAAATGTCAAAACTTCAGGGGTGACTGGATGGCTCAGTAGGTTAAGCTTCTGCCTTCGGCTCAGGTCATGATCTCAGAGTCCTGGGATTGAGCCCCACAGCGGGCTCTCTGCTCAGCAGGGAGCCTGCTTCTCCCTCCCCCTCTGCCTACCTCTCTGCCTACTTGTGATCTCTCTCTGTCAAATAAAAAATAAAATCTTTAAAAAATATATAAAAGACTTGAAAGAAGAGTATGAGAATTAGAGTCAAAGGGGAAAGAGGTGTGGTTAACACCTAAAGGAGAACAAAAAGTCAAAGTTTCTCATGCCTGGCAGTTTGAACTAGAAGGTGGCATAGTTTCAGAGTGTAGTGTTGGGAACCTTGAGTCTGAGAGGGGGTGTATGGCATCCTGAGTCATGGGCTGTATGGAGTAGCCATAATATTCATGAGGAATTATGTCTGGGTCAGTCACTCACCAGCTGTTTGACCTGGTAGGTTTGTTATGCCCCGTTGCTGAGATTTGTTTTTGTACTCTGTAAAATCTTACAGAAAATATCTATTTTTCAGGGTTGTCATGGGACAAAGAGAAAACATACATGTAGAGAAGACTGAATCTCAGCAATGGGATGCTCACAGTTAGTATATCCAGATGCTTTTAGTTGTAGTTCATCCGTTTTCATAGTTGCATGGTACTTCAGTGAATTAAAACACCATATTTATTTATCCATTCATATGGCAAAGGATAATTTGGGTAATCCAGTTTTTTGTTAGTGTAACATAATGAACATTCATGTGTATCTCTTCCAACATACATATACAAGGCTTTAGTGGCACAAATAGCTGAGATTGGAATTGCTGGGTACTGTGATATAAGCACCTTTCCTAGAGGATGCCAGATTGATTTTTAAGTGATTATACCTAGTGACACTTCCACTAGGAGAATATAGGACTTCTTCCTTTCTCCACATCTTTGCCAAAGCTGGTGTTGCAGATTTTAAAATTTTGGCACATTTGATGGGTGTAATTGTACCTCATGCAGTCTTATTTAGCATTTCCCTGATTTCCAATAAATTGAGCATATTTTAATATATGTTTGGGTCATTTGTGTTTATTTTTTAAAGAAATACTTGTTCAGGGCGCCTGGGTGGCTCAGTTGGCTGAGCGACTGCCTTCGGCTCAGGTCATGATCCCGGACTCCAGGATCGAGTCCTGCATCGGGCTCCCAGCTCCTTGAGGAGTCTGCTTCTCCCTCTGACCTTCTCCTCTCTCATGCTCTCTCAAATAAATAAATAAAAAATCCTTAAAAAAAAAAAAGAAATACTTGTTCAGATCTTTTCCAAAATTTTCTATAATTTTGTTTTTATTTTGGTTATTGATTATGAGTATTTTATATTTCTTTATATCATTATTATTATTAAGTAGGCTCTACATCCTGAATGGAGTCCAATGCAGGGCCTGAACTCAGGGCTCCAAATCAAGACCTGAGCTGAGATCAAGAGTCAGATGCTCAACTGACAGAGCCACCCAGGTGCCCCTGATTCATAGGAGTCTTTTAGAATCTAATCTTTTTCTTCTTCTCCTTTTAGAATCCAATCCTTTTCTTCTTCTCCTTTTAGAACCCAATCCTTATCTTCTCCCACTTTTTGGCTTATGTTGTTAATTTTTGTAAATGATGTCATTTGACTTATCTGTAGGATTTCTCATTCTTTTAAAATATGGTTTGCATTTTGTGCTTGGGCTTTGCTTAAGAAATTCTCTACTTCCCAGAAAGTGTAAAGATAATTCTTTAGATTCTATTTTTAAGTTTTGCTTTTCAGTCTTTAAATCTCTTAAAATTGATTTGTGTATAATTAATGTAACTTTTTAAATTGTATATCCTCCATTTATTGAATCATCATTTCACTGCTCTATGTGACGAATTCTGTCATTCATCAAGTTTTCATGTGAGGGTGGGTCTGTTTGTAGGGGTATTGTGTGTCCTTAGTTTGTTTCTGTTCTCATTTCACATTGTCCTACTTAGCACATATTTAAACTAGATGCTGGTGGCACACTTCACTTCCTTCTTGCTCTTTTATGATATTGTCTTGAATATTAGCCCTTTGCTTTTCTATATAAATTTTAAAGTAGCTTAAGAAGTTACAAACACATACATATACATAAAATGTCTTGATTTCTCTTAGAACTGCCTTGAATGTATAGAAGAACTTAAGGAAGAATTTCTAGTTTTGTGAATGTTTGTCTTCCAACCACCAACGAGGAATTTCCTATTTATTGAAGTTGCAGCTTACTATTCTTTTTTGTTATCCTTGGAATTTTCACCAATTATTTTTTTTTAATAGGATCAGTAATACATTCTAGTTTTGCTTGTTGGTATTAATCCAGAGTCTAAGCATTTTTCAGTGAAGTGCTGATACATATTTTAGGATATTTAGTCCAGCATCCCACCAGAAGTAGAGGATCTATGTAGAGTATTATTAAATGCAGTTTTCTATTCTTTTTAAAGATTTCATTTATTTATTTGGGAGACAGAACAGGTGAGAGAGAGAATGAGCATGGGGAGGGGTAGAGGGAGAGAGAGAAGCAGATTCCCTGCTGAGCAGAGAGCCCAAGGTGCAGGACTTGATCCCCGGACTCCTGGGATCATGATCTGAGCCTAAGGGAGACATTTAACCAACTGAGCCGACCCAGGCACACTGCAGGTTTCTATTAAAGTATGTGTGAATACTTTAAGTTTAGTTTCTCTGCCAACCTGTATATATATGCTTATAAACATTATTTATTTATTTATTTATTTATTTTGTAGGTGGAAAAATGATAACCAATAAAAGATCCCAGTTTTGGTTAGGAGGAATCTCACGAAGTAAGTCTGAAGGAAATTTGTTTGATATGGAAGCTCAAAAATCCTCAAGAAATTTCCATGTGACAGGTACGAGAATCTATAACTTGTAATTTTTTAATTCAGCATCGATAATTAGTGGAAGCTTACCTCTGAAAAGAGCTACAGAAGATTAAAAGAATTATAAAATTATCATGCAAATACTTACACTATCATTAAAAAATGAGCAAAATGAAATAGCACAGTCAGCAGATTATATAAATCTTCTGAGAAGGCAAAAATTCATTATTACGTGAATGATATATGCAATAAATATAATAAATTTGGGGGTAAATGAGATCTCTAGAGGTTGAACTGGGCTAAGAAATTTTCATGAAAAGTGAAAGAATTAAACTAATCCTCAGAGGAAAGGTAAGTTTGAAGAGAGTTAGATGAAACCAGATTGAAAGAAACATGAAAATAAGAGAAATACAACTTTTATTTTTCAAATGCACATTCTGATTTTTAATGTGTGATGCTTAAAACCCATTTCAATTAAGCTATAGCTCTCTGTGTATTAAACAAAAAAGTCTGACAGTTTACTTGGATTCACTTTTCAATTTTGGCTGGCCAGTTGGGCTTTTGTTTTCATGAAAACTGTACCAGTTTCACCAAGGCCACAGAATCACCAATATTTATTGAGAAATGACCAAGTATGAATTGCTAAACATTTAAAAATGACTAATACTTGTGAGATATATAGAAATTCCTTATGGTTCATATGTAAATATTTTCATGTGTTGCCAATTCTTAAAAATATTCACTTTTCGAAGTAATAACATGTTTTCACTTCATAGCAGTAAGCCTATTCTTTGTCATTTTAAACTTGGAAAAGCTCAATGAATTCCTTCAAATAGTAAATCTAAAGGTGATCTATTTTTCAATGTTCATTTTCATGAAATGTTTTTCATGAAAAAATTTCAATGTTATTAAAATCCTACAGGAAATAATCTAAGAAATACATTACTGTCTAATTTGGCATATTGTTTTTTAATTACTTTGGCTATTAACAGATGCATTTGATTTTTTTACATGGGGACTATTATAAAAGAAAAACATTAAATGAATATTCTAGATATAATGAGACTGACTATTCAATGTTTAGAAAAATTTGGATAGTTGACTGAATTATTTTGTTTGTTCAGAGGTTTTCTTCTGTGAAAATGAAACATAAAACGATAAGGCATACGCATATGTAGTCTGGGTAATTTTCAAGGAAATGTGTTCAAATGATTATTATCTAAATTTTTGAACATTTATTTGTAAATCACAGCGTCTTAAGAAAAAGTAACATTAAACATAGTCAAAATATACTGGCAGAACATTTTCTCTTTCCTCATAACATGAAAATTTGAGCAAATTTAACATTAATTTTGTAGGAGCTATTAGATTGGAGATCAAAAAACAAAATAAAAAACATTGAATTTTTAAGCTATAATAATTAGTTGGTTGTATCTCAGGATGCCACCTCACTTTTGTTTTGCTTTGTTTTTGTCTAAATAACAAGAATCTACAGACCCAGGATTTCTTCTCCATTGGCCGGATCCTTTCACATGTCAGGGCAATAAGGCTTCCGAGGTTACAAATCCATTCTGGAATGACCTGTCTGCTTCTAACCCGTTTTTGGATGACATAACTCAGCTAAGAAATAACCAGAAGAGAGAGAATATTTCCATCTTGAAGGAAGATCCTTTTCTTTTTTTTAGAGAAACAGAAACTGGAAATTCTTTTGATTCCTCTGGTGATGAACTAGATGTGCATCAGTTACTCAGGCAGTCTTCCTCACGGACATCTGCAAGATCTAAAAGTGTTTCAGAACTCTTGGACATTTTAGATGACACAGCACATGCCCATCAGAATATACATAACTCTGACCAGATACTAGAACAAGACTTAGAATGGCTTCAGAATGATAGAGAGGCTTATAAAATGGCTTGGTTAAGTCAACGCCAGCTGGCCCGTTCATGCCTGGATTTGAATATAGTTAATCAGAGTCTGGGATGGGCCCAAACACAAGTAGCAGAGACAGTGATAGTTTGCAAAGTAAGCCACCAAGGAGGGTCAGTACAATTACCCGAATCAGGTATCACTGTTCATGTGCCCCAAGGCCATGTAGCCGTGGGAGAATTCCAAGAGGTGTCTCTAAGGGCATTTCTTGAACCTCCACAAATACTTAACCATGATCTTTCATGCACTGTAAGCCCACTGTTGGAAATCACGTTAGGCAACCTAAATACAATGGAAGCCGTTTTGCTGGAGATGAAAATAGGGGCTGAAGTGAGAAAGGATCCTTTCAGCCAAGTCATGACAGAAATGGTGTGTTTACACAGCCCTGGTAAAGAAGGCCCTTTCAAAGTGTTAAACAACTGCTATATTTATAAAGACATCATCCAAGTCAAGCTAATAGACTTGAGCCAGGTGACATACCTCGTGGTTGCTGCACAAATTAAAGCTATTCAGTCACCAACTGCCACCATTTGGGATTGTATCCACAAAACCACCTCCATTGGAATTTATGGGCCCAGATATATTCATCCCAGTTTCACTGTTATTTTCACAGTTTGTGGACATTGTTACATGCCAGGAAAGCTTACAATCTCTGATATTAAGAAGGGTGGAAAAAACACATCTCCAGTTGTGTTTCAGCTCTGGGGGAAGCATTCGTTCTTACTTGACAAGCCACAAGATTTAAGTATTTCTGTTTTTTCATGTGATCCTGATTTTGAAGTAAAGGCAGAAAGAGAAAGGAAAGAAATTAAACAAAAGCAGTTGCTCTCAGGTGAAGTAGTTCATCAGCAGTTTTTATTTTCCTTAGCTGACTCCAGAGAAATGCACATATTTGTTTTCCGTGTTCAGGTGGAGCCTCCCAATGGTAGAGCAGTTACACAGTTCTTTGTCACTACACCTGATCCAGCTCCCAATCTTAAAAGGCTCTCAAATCGGTTAGGCGTTTTGCAGGAAGAGAAGAAAATCAAGTCTGCTCCGTTATTGCCAGCAGTGTGTGTGAAATACCCCACATTTCAAGATAAAAAAATGAACTTTACCAACTATGGGATAACTGTGAAGACAGTGCTAAGACAAAAAAAGATTGACTACTTACTTGAGTATTTCAAAGGGGACACAGTAGCTCTTATTGGAGAGGGTAAGGTAAAAGCCATTGGGCAGTCCAAAGTGAAAGAATGGTATGTGGGAGTCCTGAGAGGTAAGGTTGGGCTTGTACATTGCAAAAATGTCAAGGTGATTGAAAAAGAACAAGTAATATCTATGTCCAATAATGTTTTCACAACCAGAAATCTTCTCGAACAAATTACCCTACCCTTTAAAAAACTGACTTACATCTACTCAGTTGTATTGACTTCGGTGTCAGAAAAAGTTTATGATTGGAAAGTTTTAGCTGAAGTCTTGGGTTACTCACATCTGGCACTAGAAGACTTTGACCAAACACAAGCTGACAAAGAATCAGAAAAAGTTTCCTATATTGTAAAGAAGTTAAAGGAAGATTGCCATGCAGATAAAAATACCAGGAAGTTTCTTTATGAACTTATTGTGGTGAGTATTGCTTGTTCACAGTATTGTTTACTGTAGAGAATTTTATTAACTTGGGAATATTTATAGAAACATATGAGAGAAGTTAAAAAATTCGCAGCAGTTTCAAATAAACTAAAGTTACTTTATAGTAAATATAGATATTTTCTTACAAGATCATATAATTGATTTCTTAGTTTTAAAATTCAAGTGTGATTTTTCCCAGAAACTAGGCTCCTGAGGATCATCTTTCAAAGATTAAAGTTCTGTTTGTGCTAGAATATAGCAGTTAAGAGATCTCTTCTCTTCCTCTCTCAAGTAGTTTAATAGCTCTTAAAATATCAGAGCATCTCCAATAACATGAAAATATATAAAGGCAAATAGTCAGGGCCCCTGGGTGACTCACCTTGGTTAAGCATCAGACTCTTGGTTTTGGCTCAGGTCGTGATCTCGGGGTTTTGAGAATGAGCCCCTGTGAGATTGAACCTGGAGTCTGCTTGTCTCTCTCCCTCTGCTCGTGGCCCCTGCTTGTACTTTTCTAGGGTGACTGAGTGGCTCAGTTGGTTAAGTTTCTGATTCTTGATTTCAGATCAGGTCATGATCTTAGGGTCCTAGGATTGAGCCCCCTGTTGGATTCTGTGCTCTGTGTGGAATCTGCTTGAGATTCTCTCTTTCCCTCTCACTCTGCTCCTCCCCCCTGCTCTCTAGATCTCTCCCTAAAAATAAATAAGTAAGTCTTTAAAAAAAAAAAGCCAACCGAAACAAGATTAATTAACTTGTGCATTCTTATAGGTCCACTATTTAGTGTTTTTTTTATAATTTGCAATGTTTTGTTTTTAAAACATATTGTCAAAATTTAAAAACCCATATTATCAATGTCTTCACTTTATCAGCTTAATATTCTTCTCATGTGTGTGATGCATCACAACTCAAAAAGTGATATTGCTAACTTTTTTCTTAATCTTCACGTTTTAATAGAACTTTCAGGATCTTTTTTTTTTCCCCACCATAGCATTTACCTCAGTGTAAGGCTCAGTGGAGAGCTATAAAGAAGTTAAAGAACTGGTTTGCCTTTAAAGTGGAAATACAGTATTTTATAAAAGTAAAGAGAAAAACCAAAAGTATATCCCTAAAAGTTGTTATAATATGAATGTATAAATAATAATAATAATAGCTAACAATGCTGTAGGGTTCTGTATGTGTTTGACTCTGTGTTGAACTCTCCATACACATCTCTCACTTAGCCAACAACTCTTTGGAGTAAGTGTAGGAGCTTCATCTTACCAACAGACTCTTGGAAGGTTGGGAAACTTGCCCAAGATCCCACAGTTGGTTAGCATCAGAGACAAGGTTTGAGACCTTTTTGGTTCCAAAGTCACCCTTAAACTACTCCACTTTCCTAAAACAGTTATGAATGTGTGTGTGTGGTGAAGTGTAGAAGCTTGTGTGACTTACCTGTATTGGTGTGTAGTTAATACTGTGGTAACTGTGCAAGGCCAGTGCCCTGTGAGAGATGGGTAGGATTACCCAGGCAGGTTCACAGAGAGGAGGACAGCTCTCATCCAGGTGCATGTGGAGGAGAGAGATTTCTGAAGAAGAATTTACTTTGAGACACTAACAATAATTTAACAAGAAATTGTATATATAAAACATTTTCTTTTCTTTATTATTTTTATGATTCTACAGTGATACTGACGGGGTTAAATTTTCCAAGCCCCACTATCCAGTGTTTTATGACGGTGTGCTGGGTTCTCCACCGAGGAATTCAGAGTCATTGGCTGATCTACCTGCTTGAAGCTGCATGTGCCTTTTACAGCAGCTCAGTACCTCTCATTATCTCTGCATTAGCTCATGTTCAGCATGGACTCATGAAGGCTTGATTTGAAACTTGCTTTCTTTGTCCTCTTAGTGACAAAAAAAAAGGGTTATTTTGGTCAAATGGCTTGGAAATTTTAGCCTAATCATATCTGCTCTATATTGGTGTATACTAATTAAGTGAGTAGTTTGGTAACTAACTGAACAGTGCTGATGGAGAACTCACTCAAGGAAGTAGTTCCTAAAAACTCATACCACACCTCAGTGAAGGCTTCAGGATTTCTATGGAAGGGTCTTGGGCCTGGTTATCTGACCAGAAGATGATGGAGCGTGGGGTATAGAGGCCATCTCTTGAAACTTTATCTGCATAATAAGTTTGTGTTTTTCTTGAGTTATGTATTAATTTGGAGAGCTGGAAGGGAACTAATAAAGACTGTGGATTCAAAAAACCCTCAGACATATATAGACATTGAGACTGGTTGTCCTCATATACTTGATACTTGACATTTCCTAAAAACACTTGGATATCTGATTCAATTTTCCTAAAGATTGTAGGCATCTAGAGAAGGTGGTATTACCACTGTATCCATTTTAAAAATCATTAAACAGTGATATTTTGTGATTTATCTAAAGCCCTATACTTTGTGGTATTGGATTTTAAATTCAGATTGTGTAACTCCAAGTGCAGATTTCTTTTCCTTAAATCAAGAAACTAGAATAAGCATTGCTAAAACCATTCCATGATTTACTTAAAGCACCTTCCAGGGCCTCCTGGCTCAGTGCTGCTTTTTTCCTGAGATCATAACTCCTCACCATAAATTTATGGACCAATACGGTCAATGTATAAAAACCATGGTGGTCTTTCTAATGCTTCCAGAGCCATGAATATTCTATGGACTTTACTAGTTGCCTTACTTGGTCACTCATTTTTACATATTGTTTCATAGTGATGGATAAAGCTTTTTAGTGCTGGTAAATGATAAAGCGCTACCACACATGTTTCTTTGCTTTGAACAGGGAAGAGCTATAGATAGGTCTAATTCCATGTTTTAAAAATATATTCATGGCAAAGGGAAACTCATAGATTTGTTTGAAATATGCATGGTGATTGACAAAGCTCAGATGAAGGGATGGGAAGGGAAGGGAAGATTCTCTGGTGGGTTTCCATTTGCATCGTTGAGGACTAAGTGTTTTATCTTTAACACGTTGTGGTTCTATTTAACACAGTTAAACTGGTGCTGAAGGGAGATGGTTAATTTTCTGAAGTCATAAATATCTACAACTTTGTTCAAAGTTGTAGGAGTAACTCATTTTTGTGCAAGAGGCATTATTCTGGGGAGTTGTAAATCACATTTTGATGGAAAGTAGAGTAATATTTACCAGCAACAGTGTGCTTATTCTTTAGAGAAATCCTGTAGCCAATTCTCTGGTAAGGAAAGGAATTACTTTTTTTGCAGAGTGAATAATCATCCCTGGGTTGATAAATTATAGACTGCTAGAACCTCAGGGTATCTTTGTAAGTGTCTAGTTCAACTTCTTCCTTTTCCAATTAAGATATTAAGAAACATATTAGTTGAGTGGTTTACCCAAGGCCCTATAATTAGTCACTGATTTGGGCTTAAGTCTCCCCTAATTTTGGTCTAGTCATATCCTCTGTACTTTGCTGATTGGATTTGCTTAAAAGTAAATCAGCTTTTTGAATTTTAGAAACCTCAAATATACATGTGGTGAGAAAGATGATGCCAGTTTCTAGAAAATATAATGAAAATTTTTACTTATAGGAGAAAGCCCAAATTAGTTGATTTTAACTATGCTATGTAATTGTTGCTGCAGGCTCTGCTGAAGATGGATTGCCAAGGGTTAGTAGCACATCTCATCCAAGAGGCTGCTATTCTGACTTCAGCTGTCAAGCTTGGAAAAGGCTGGAGGGAACTAGCTGAAAAGTTAGTACAACTCACAAAGCAACAGATGGAAGCATATGAAATTCCTCACCGAGGAAAAGCTGGAGATGTTGCTGCTGAGGTAAGATTTCTCTTTGTCTAATCAAATAATAAAAATTACAGATCAAGTAAATCAAATGTAATCAAGTCTACACCACATACATGGATTAAATGAGGGAGTGTCTAGAGGATCCACTAACTGAAGTCACTGCCCCCATAACCATTAACATTATCTGAAATATACACACATCACTCTTCAAAGGCATCAAGAACCTTTAAAATACATTGATGTTTCTTCTATTGGATTGCATATTAACATGGTCTTTGCTCAAATAATTGTACCAAATTGGATAGCTAGTCAGTCAGTAAGCAGGGCTATAAGAACTCTAGGCAGAAACAGATAAACTTTGAAGGGAGGAAATGGGGCCAAATCAGAACAAAGGCATTGTTCAGAACAATAAGCATTTATCAGCCTTAGTCACAGAACTAGTCATTTGTAATAAATAATGCTTAGTGACAAGCATTAAGGAAGTGGATGGTGTGGGGTTACTGGTAATGAGAGCTAGAAACATCTAAGAGCTTCCTTACCTCTTTTACAATTTTGTATACAGCAAGAGCTATAGACATCAAATACAGAAGAACAACACTTCCTGCAAAGTAAATATTCACCATGCAACTATTTTTATTAATATTAAAACAAATGTATATTGGTGGGCCTAATTAGGTAAATATTTTCTCTATTTATCATAAAGAAAGTGAGTCCATTTTTATTGACTTAAATGGGAGTATTCCAGTGATGATCACATATAAAGTGTTCTTTATCTTTCTCACATGTGTGAAAGCATTTCCAGGATATTTCAGTTAAGGAAAGGTGGTCTTGGATTAGATGATGACTTGGTAGGAGGCAGAAGCCATGTTCCCCATTTCCTATTTGGGCATAGAGCTGGGTTTTAATTTCTTGAGAAAATTTTCTTATTTTGAAACAAAACAACTATGCCAGCTGGATAAGGAGAACAAGACAACCTTTCCATGAAACTTGAAGAGTCAAATCAAGTCAGTTGAATCCCAGCAGCTGCAGTAGAAGCTTCAGGGTTCCTGGAGCCTGGCTCTCCAGCAAGGACTCCCATAAACAGACTCTTTAGCCGAGAGCATCCAAGACCTATTTCCCCCTTATAGATTACATCCCCTTTACAGACTACATTTATCTTTGTACACTGAAAAGGACATTACAACCTCCAAATGAGTTTTTAGTGTATGAGCTAAAAGACAACAAACCTTTAATAAGGAGGGAAAAAAAAGACATTATGAGGGATATACTATTCTGATATTTAAGTGAAATTGATTAAAAAGCTGTCTAATTGGGGCGCCTGGGTGGCTCAGTGGGTTAAGCCGCTGCCTTCGGCTCAGGTCATGATCTCAGTGTCCTGGGATCGAGCCCCGCATCGGGCTCTCTGCTCAGCAGGGAGCTTGCTTCCTCCTCTCTCTCTGCCTGCCTCTCTGCCTGCTTGTGATCTCTCTCTGTCAAATAAATAAATAAAATCTAAAAAAAAAAAAAAAAACTGTCTAATTGAGATACCACCACCTAACAGAATGGCCAAAATCCAGAACACTAATGACACTGAATGCTTTCGAGAATGTGGAACAATAGGAACCCTCTATCATTGCTGGTGGAATGCAAAATGGTAATGGCCACTTTGGAAGACCCTTTGGTCTTACAAACAAAACATACCCCCTTACCAAACGATCACTCTGTCACAGCCCTTGGTAGTTATCCAAAAGAGTTGAAAACTTTTGTCCACACAAGTCTGTAGGTATATGGGTAAATAGACTGGTGCACCTATCGCTTCTCGGCCTTTTGGCTAAGATCAAGTGTAATATACTGGTGCATCTAAACAATGGAATATTATTCAGTACTAAAAAGAAATGAACTACCAAACCATGAAAAGACATGGAAGAACTTTAAATGCATATTACTAAGTGAAAGAAGCCAATCTGAAAAAAAACGTTTACACTGTATGATACCAAATATATGACATTCTGGAAAAGACAAAGCTATGGAGACAGCAAAGAGATCAGTGGTTGCCAGGTGTCAGGAGGGAGAAATGAATAGGCAGAGCACAGAAATTATACTAAGTGAAAATACTCAATATAATATCATAATGATGGATATATGTCATTATACATTTGTCTAAACCCACAGCATATACACCACCAGAAGTGAACCCAGGGTGAACTGTGGACTTTAGGCAATGATAATGTATCACTGTAGATTCATCAACTGTAACAAATGTACCCCTCAGGTGGAGGCTGCTGATAATGGGGTAGGCTATGCATGTGTATGAGTGGGATATACATGGAAAATCTCTATACTTTCCTCTCAATTTTGCTGTGAACCTAAAACTACTTTAAAAATGATTCATTTTTAAAAAGTTGCCTAGTTGAAAGCCAGACTTTTTTTTCTTAGTAAGCCTTTGTTTTTAAAAAAAGGTTTTCTTGAGAATTATTTACCAGAGAGTTACTTACTCTCTCAGGTTTCTTAAACATCTAACTTCTCTCTAACTGTGATTGTTTATATTTTGTCTTCCCCCAAATCTTGACGGAAGCCAACAAACAGCCTACTTTTCCATTATTCACTTTTGCACAGTCCAAATCACAAATGACTAAGTCTATGTCTGAGTTTGATAAAATGCTCAGAAGCAGGAAGGGGAGTTCCTAGATGGCTTTCTAGAGGTTATCATTCAACTAACTGTGGCAAGGCTAACAATCATTACTCTGATCTGTGTTATTAAATGTTTAGAAAATTATTCATGGTATATCCCAACTTATGGGAGTCTTTACCTGTTAGGCCACTTAAACCAAAGGTAAATGCTAATTTTTAACAGCTGTACAATTATTTTTCTCTCAGGAAGGAGCTTATTTTTAAATATGATCAGTTTACAAGTCAAGAAATGATTTCAAAGATTTTATTTATTTATTTATTTGACAGACAGAGATCACAAGTAGGCAGAGAGGCAGGCAGAGAGAGAGAGAGAGGAAGCAGGCTCCCTGCAGAGCAGAGAGCCCGATGTGGGGCTCGATCCCAGGACACTGGGACCATGACCTGAGTCGAAGGCAGAGGCTTTAACCCACTGAGCCACCCAGGTGCCCCCAAGTCAAGAAATGATTTCAAAACATGCTGATATTAGTTCTGGGTAGAGTGTGCAGAGGGAGGGAACCAGCATCGGGGCAGGGAGATAATGAGGCCTGGTGGTTCCCATGTGGCTTCCGTTTCCTTTATCTCACTTCCTCAGAGGGCACACTTCCCAGCAATTCCTCTCTATGTGTGCCAATGTCTACAATCGGGCTCTTTCACTCACTTTACTTCTTCTTCAATTTCCTCCTTTTCCTTTTGTTCTATTTTTATTCTATCTCAAAGACAGTTATCTGGCACTTACTGTGGGCCAGACACTGCTCCAAGAGCATCACAAAAATTAATCCTTATTTAATCCTTTCAACAAAAACTTCTGGGGCAGATACTAATACTATCTAAGATGCAGAGAGGCTAAGTAACTTGTTTAAACATATAGAGCTAGGAACTCTTAGAACCAGGTTTGGAGCATAGACTTTGGCTTTGGGGCCCTTGTACTTTAACTATTATACTCTGCCCACCCACACCAAATCCACCATGGTGGCTGAGTGGCAGGGCCAGATGTAGTCAGGACTGTGGGGGTTAAAGGACTCATTTCACTTTTTCTTTTTCTTTTTTCAAGCCGTCATATGATACTACCAAAATTTGCCTTTACATTTTCATTAAACTTCAATCCAATTAAAGAATAGAGATTATTAGTAGTATGTCAGATTTTCCTTGAGTACTTTTGCCCATTTCTCATTCTTTTATGAGGTGAAAAAGAAAAGCTTCTCTCTGGGGGCGCCTGGGTGGTTTAGTTGCTTGGGTGTCTGCCTTCAGCTCAGGTCATGATCCCTGGGAGCTACAATATGAGTCCCACCTAGGCTCTGTGCTCAGCGGGGGGCCTGCTTCTCCCTCTCCCCGTCTGCTACCCTGCTTGCTTCTGCTTTCTCTCTCTCTCTCCCTATCAAATAAATAAATAAAATCTTTTTTAAAAATAGTGAAAAAAGAGAACCTTCTCTCTGGAGACTTCTGAGAATGTCACTTTTAAACTAACTATCTCCCTTAGTTGTAAAAAATGTTACTCAACTTTTCTAGTGAAATTTCATTTTCTACGTAAAAGCAAAGCAACAAAACTTGGAATCTGATTCTGAGGGAAATATGTTTGTCAGAGTATTTCTTTTGAAAAGAAAATACATTTATGCTATACAGAGGTGTTTAATCATTGCCAAGGTTCTCCTGTGAAAGTTAATGAAAATTCATTGGAGTTTTTCTGAAGATATTTAGAGCTTTAACTCAAAAAACAAAATCAACAAAATACTAGAAAAATAGCCTATTTAAAGAAAATTGGATTTTACAAGAGGAAATGCTGGGGATGTCAGAGCTAAGATATTCTCTGGCCTAAATTGCATACTCTTTACCTATTCTTCTGGGGATTAATAGTATATATGACACATTTCCTAGCAACTGTCTTCCATGGGCACCTGCCTAACAATAAAGTATATGCTCTTTCCATCTCATTCGATAAGAGCAGTTATTTACCAAGGACACTAAAACATCACTTCTTCTTATCAAATTACCTTCTACCCCACTGGGCTCCACCTCAGCCACTGACACAAATAAGCCTGTCAAGGCTGATTTCTTATCTGACCTGCCAGAATGGGCCACCCTAACTATGGAAGCCTGAGGAAGTCAGCATTGCTAATTGCAATTTATTCTCATACCAGAAACTACTCACCTATAGAGTTATGACTGGCACTGTGTATTTTTAAGTCTTTTTGTAGTCAACACTCAATCAGTGAGGATCTGATTTTCTGTTTTATCTTCTAGCTATAACTTTGTCCCTCCTCATTTTTGACTGGCAGCTATCGTGCTCCAAGCACTTCATTGTAGGTCTAGATTTAAAATGACAAAGTAGTTATTCCTCAAACAGCTAATTTTATTTATTTTTATAGATGAATAAAAATTCTATATGG